AGGAGCAAGAAAGAAAAAAGGAAAAAGAAAAGAAAAGAAAAGGAAGAAGAAAGAAAAGAAAAGGAAAAGAAAGAAAAGAAAAGGAAAGAAAGAAAGAAAAGAAAGGAAGAAGAAAGAAAAGAAAAAAGGAAGAAAAAAAAAAGAAAAGGAAGAAGAAAAAAAAGAAAAGAAAGAAAGAAATAAAAAGAAAGGAAGAAAGAATAAAGAAAGGAAGAAGAAGAAAAGAAAAAGAAAGAAAAGGAAAAAGGAAGAAGAAAGAAAAAAAAGGAAGAAGAAGAAAAAGAAAGGAAGAAGAAAGAAAAAAAAGGAAGAAGAAGAAAAGAAAGGAAGAAGAAGAAAAAGAAAAGAGAAGAGAAAAGAAAAGAAGAAGAAAAAGAAAAGGAAGAAAGAAAGAAAAGAAAGGAAGAAGGAAGAAAAAAAGAAACGGAAGAAGAAGAAGAAGGAAGAGGAAGAGGAAAAAAAGGAGGAAGAGAGGAAAAAGAAGAGGAAGAGGAAAAGAGGAAAAATAAGGAGAAAAGGAAAAAAAGGAGGAAGAGGAAAAAAAGAAGGAAGAGGAAGAAAGAGGAAGAAGAAGAAAAGAAGAGAAGAGAAGAACGGAGCGAAGAAGGAAGAAGAAGAAGAGAGAAGCAAGGAAGAGAAAAGAAGAAGAAGGGAATGAAGGGAAAGAAAGAGAAGAAGCAGAAAAGAGGGAAGAGGAAGAAAAGAAGAAGGGAAAAGGAAAGAAGGAAAAGAAGAAGAAGAAAAAAAGGAAAAGGAAAAGAAAGAAAGAAAAGAAGAGAGAAAAAGAAAGGAAGAAGAAGGAAAGAAAAGGAAGAAGAAGAAAGAAGAAAAGGAGAAGAAGGAAAAGAAAAGGAGGAAAGAAGGAAAAAAGGAGGAAGAAGAAGAAAGGAAGAAGAAAAAAGAAAAAGTAAGAAGAAGAAAAAAGAAAGGAAGAAGAAGAAAAGAAAGAAAAGAAGAAGAAAGAAAAGAAAGAAAGAAGAAAAAGAAAGAAAGAAGAAAAAGAAAAGAAAGAAAAAGGAAAGAAAAAGGAAGAAGAAAAAGAAAAGGAGAAGAAAAAAAACAGGAGAAAAAAGAAAAAGAAGAAGAAAAAAAAGAAAGGAAGAAAAAAAAAGAAAAAAGAGAAAAAAGAAAAGGAAAAGAAAACAAGAAAAAGGAGAAGAAAACAAAAAAAGAAGAAAACAAGAAAAGGAAGAAGAAGAACCAAAACAAGAAAAGGAAGAAGAAAACAAAACAAGAAAAGGAAGAAGAAAAAAAACAAGAAAAGGAAAAGAACAAAAGAAGAAGGAAGAAGAAAACAAAAAAGAAAAGGAAGAAGAAAACAAACAAGAAGGAAGAAGAAACAAAACAAGAAGAAGAAGAAAAGAAAGAAAAAGAAAAAGAAAAAGAAAAAGAAAAGAAAAAGAAAAAAAAAGAAAAAAGAAAAAGAAAAGAAAAAGAAAAAGAAAAAGAAAAAGAAAAAGAAAAAAGAAGAAAAAGAAAAGGAAGAAGAAAAAACAGAGAAAGGAAGAAGAAAAACAAGAAAAGGAAGAAGAAAACAAGAAAAGGAAGAAGAAACAAAACAAAAAGGAAGAAGAAAGACAAAACAAGAAGAAACAAAACAGAGAAAAGGAAGAAGAAGAAAACAAAACAAGAAAAGGAAAAGAAAACAAGAAAAGGAAGAAGCAAAACAAAACAAGAAAAGGAAGAAGAAAAACAAAACAAGAAAAGGAGAAGAAAACAAAACAAAAAGGAAGAAGAAAACAAAACAAGAAAGAAGAAGAAACAAACAAGAAAGGAAGAAGAAAACAAAACAAGAAAAGGAACAAGAAAACAAAACAAGAAAAAGAAGAAACAAAACAAGAAAAGGAACAAGAAAACAAAACAAAACAAGAAAAGGAAGAAGAAAACAAAACAAGAAAAAAGAAGAAAACAAAAACAAGAAAACAAAACAAAGAAAACAAAACAGAAAACAAAAACAAGAAAACAAAACAAGAAAACAAAACAAGAAAAAAACAAGGAAAAAAAACAAGGAACAAACAAGAAACAAACAAGAAAACAAACAAGAAACAAAACAAGAAAACAAAACAAGAAAACAAAAACAAGAAAACAAACAAGAAAACAAAACAAGAAACAAAACAGAACAAAGAAAAAAAACAAGAAAACAAAACAAGAAAACAAAAACAAGAAAACAAAAACACAAGAAAAAACAAAACAAGAAACAAAACAAGAAAACAAAACAAGAAAAAAACAAAACAAGAAAACAAAACAAGAAAACACAAAAACAGAAAAAAAACAAGACAAAAAACAAAAACAAGAAAAACAAAAAAAATAAAAAGAAAAAGAAAAAAAAAAAAAAAAAGAAAAAGAAAAAAGGAAAAAGGAAAAGGAAAAGGAAAAGGAAAAGGAAAAGGAAAAGAAAAGAAAAGAAAAAGAAAAAGAAAAAGAAAAAGAAAAAAGAAAGAAAAAGAAAAGAAAGAAAAGAAAAAGAAAAAAGAGAAAAAGAAAAAGAAAAAGGAAAAGGAAAGGAAAAGGAAAAGGAAAAGGAAAGGAAAAGAAAGAAAAAGAAAAAAAAGAAGTAGAAAGAAAGAGATATGATGAAGAAGGCAAATCAATAAAGAAAAAAAGTGGGATATTGCTTTTAATTCAAACAAGAAAATAAAGCATAACACAAAAAAGGGAAAAAAGCGCAGCAGAATTAATAACGACCAAAAAAAAATAATAAATAAAAAAATGAAAAAAATAATAATAACTAAATAAATAAATACTCACAGGAATCTTCAGGGCAGATATAAAGCTGATCGCCTTTTCCTCCTCGGGTTCGCTCTGAGTTCTGCTTTCCTCTTCCTTCTCTTTGCCGACGTAAGAAACAGTCGGAGATTCCTTGAAGACAAAATACGGAGGTCAAAATCCTGATCGTTTCGATTAAACCTTGTAACCAAAGAACCTTGACACCCCTGACACCCTGAGCTATAATCAACAGAGACGTGTTTTTGCCGCACATTGTTTTTCATGATTTTATTTGCCTAAAAGACATTTTTTCTAATAAACTGTTATAAATAACTGCCTAAACATAAAGTTTCATATTTACATAACAATAGAAAAATTCTGCATTTCAAGGATCCATAGTTAAATAGAAAGACTTAAACAACAGGCTTTCATCTGAATTTCAAAGGTAGATACATGTCAAAATATTATACTGGTTGAGCATTTGAGAATATTTATGTCGTTCACTTAAAATACAATAGAATATTAGCTGCAAGTATACTGTAACCAACAACATGTAACTGTAAGTATAAGAAGCACATAAGCACTACTACTGTATTTTTTTTTTTTTACACAAAACACCTGTAGAGTTCCAAATATCCAAATAAGAACCAGGTAGAGTAGATCAACATTATATTAATGAGCAAAAAACATCCGTATACAGTCCTTTCTCGACTGGGTGATCATTCATTCAGATGGGTTGCAAATTCAGATAAAGGGAACTATACATAAAGATAAAAATAAACAAATAAAAAGTACAGACAAGTTGCTTACTTCACTCAGTAGGGCAGCAGTTTCATCCTCAGAAACTTCAATATATGGTTCAATGTTCCTCCTTCGCGGTTCTGGAGATTCACCTTCTTGCTACAAAGGACAAAATGCACCCAAAAAAATGTAAGGACACCCACAATAACACGTAATACCACATGTAACTAATATAGCATGTACAATAATTGTTATAAATACTATTCCGAGGAGAAGCTTTAAGCTTTGACACCACTGCAATATCTGTACACAATTGCCCTGTTTTTGGATTAAAAGGTATAAACCTAACATGAATTTCCTCAAAACTATTCCCTTTAAAACTTAGGCATGTTATCAAACAAACTCCTTTCACACCCCATTAATATAACTTTGCATATTTACTAATTGAATATAAGAATGATAAAAGGGGGGAGGGGGGAAGCAAAGGAGAAAATTATATAAATATAACTAGGAATAAGCAGTTTGAATGTATATATAAAAGGTCATCGTATCCAAAGGTGTTCTTTAATGCTTTCATTAAACTCTTTATCTATAACATAGGTATCTATATGGTCATATAAAACAAAGCATTCTTGTGAGTGTACTGTATTTATCGATGCTGATGTTATAGGTGAAAATTTAAATAAATGTATTTTTGTGCAATTTGCCTGAGAACACCTCTGGATGTGCATTCCCTTAAATGATGCACGTGCATGTATGCATGTTTGCGTGTTTGTGCACGCACGTATGTGCGTGCATGCGTGTGTGTAATATATATATATAAATAAGCAAAAGCATATTTAAGGAAAAAATATAGACTTCATACACTTCTACAAAAAATTCCACATTCTATATTTCTAAACCTCACAAAATATATCCATTGCACACTCTTCCCCTTAAAAAAAAAAAAAAAAGCTCTGCCCAAGAAAACAGAAGCTTACACACCTCATAATTTGCATTGGGGTTCGGCAGACCAACCATCTCTGGCAGCGGAACCATGAAGAACAGGGTAATGATCCCCATTGAACTGATGATAATGCCAGGGATAATGAAAGACAAGCTCCACTGGCTGCTCACGAAGGCAGCAGCAATGAGTGTACCCAGGATGTTGCCGAGGGATGTGTGCGAGTTCCAGATACCAAAGATGAGACCTAGGTTGGAGGAGGTAACAATTTAGATCTATCTCATAGCTTATTTGTAATTCTTTACTTCCTTAGCGTATATCTTTAAATCCACTCTGCAAAATTCTCTAGGGTACATAAATATTCAATTTTAACAAAATGGAAAAAAAGTCAGAAAATTAAGACATAAATTACCTCTGTTTCCTTTTCCAAACCAGTTTCCAAGAGCTGTAACTACGCCAGGCCATCCTGTGGTCTGCATCAGCCCACATAATATCTATCCATAGGGGAGAAAAGAATATGAACTATTAGACCAAATTAAATACGATGACATGAGCCAATCAGATTAACCCTAAAGCCTGTTCCACCAAAATGGAGCATAATAGCAAACGG